TAAATATCAACCTAAAGGTTTCGAATTTCGTACGAATATTATTACCTAGTCACATACAAAAATTACCTATGTGGAGGCAAGATTCAACAATAATTTTTTTTATACAATAATTATTATGGATCATCCTAATATAGGTACTATAGTACCATAGTACCATGTCTTGTCTTTTGGGTTATATTGCTTAATCTGCATTGTATAGTATAAGTTCGTATAAATCACGGTATGTTCATTTCAGCAAAAATAATTAGTTTTGCTTGTATTGTAATTGTAAAAAAGTAGTAAATTGTAGACCTAGGCGCTAAAGTGACATTTTTCTAGGCTGAACAAAGAAATGTACAGGCGAGGTTTAGTAAGCCTCTATACTTTTTGAAGCCTGAAAAATTGAATTTCCGCTGTGGTTTACACGTTATTTTTCTTCCTACACAACAATGGCAAAAAAGTACTAAAAATGTATAGAGCAAATTTTGACATTTCATATTGTTTAATTTTGACATGCATGTCATCTACAAAACAGATATAACGTTCTGCTGGAATCTACACTTGAGGTAATTTAATATTAAAAATTTAATTTATAATTTGCTAATCTTAGATTTTATTAAGCTGATTATTTTATAGAAATAATACAGCTTTTGTTTGAACAAAAAAAGTTGTTTATTTTTAATTTAATTTAACATATTATTGCAGCGCCATCTATTGGAAGAAGTAAACTAAAAATTACCGCCTACGCATTTGTGATTTGTGAAACACCTACTTTCTCTCCCCTATGGAGACCGTAAAATTACCATAGTGTAGGAAGAAAACAGTGTTAAAGTTGGATTCTGTATTGTAGATTTTGATTAGAAAATACAATTACAATATTTTCTCGTGGCTGGGTGAACTAATATGAAACGGGGTTCGTAATTAAATTACAGATTTGGACGGTTTTGGAACCGTGCGATACCTGGAAAAATCCTTTATAAGAGCACCTAATTTAATATGATAATAAAGTCAAAAAAAAATCTAAAAAGTAAAACAATTTTTGTTACGTTTTTTTGTTGTCTGTCAGTGTTGAGTTTAACCTCCTAAGGATGTATACTATCTGAAAAGTCTTCTACCTGCCGTTTCGGAGATTAGCCCGGACAAACATTTTAACACTTTATTTTTTTATTTATATGTATGTTTGTATAGATTTATAGGTATAGACAGTCAACAATTTTTTTGTGAATTAATCGCCAATTTACAAGTCAGTGAACTAATTATAGTGTATGATTTATGCAGTACTTTAAGTTTGTCGCCAAATAAACATTAAAATAAAAGAAGTTTATAATAACTTTGCAGTATGTAAATGAGAATATTATACAGCAAACTTGTGCCTTTAATGGAAATTAGCTTTTTTTAAATTAAATAAGAAGTAAAAAATAAAGCATAAACAAACTAAGCCGATCGGTAGTTAAAGTAGATTTAAATTAAAATAGGTATTATTTACAAAAACTATTTCTCTGCAAGTTAAAGCAAGTCTTTTCGCCTATTAGAGACAATATATCTAATCAATTAAATTGAACACGAGCCACAATCGAACAAAATAGTATACGATATGCATATTACGGTCGCATTATAAACCTATTAAGTAAATTAGATGAGTCCAATGGATAAATTATATTGATTGGCTAATGAATGTTACATACACGTTTTGAAATATCCCGCCAATTAAACTTAGTAGAATTCATCGGTGATGTTTGAAATAGGCGAAGGCATAGTTTTTTATGTAAGACCGTGGGTATTCCCTGAATTTTTACTTTTATTTGGATTTCATTAATGAACTATTCATCCGTAGCACTAGTCCTATGATAAGCATAGCCGTAAGTCTGGGCGAGATGACCACGGTATTCCAGGCTAAAACATTTGCCATACAATACTACCTATGGTAAATGACCGATTAATTCCTTATAGAATACAATTGAAGTATTGGTTGGTATCAATAGGTCTAAATTGGAAATACTGGGTTTAATTGAGCGCGATATAAAACAGAAATTGGTTTTTACTGGTATTTTCCATGATGGAAAAGTCCGATTAGGAATCTACTGTTTTTTAGTGGTTTCGATTGGTTTAAGCTACCAATAGGTAATTCCCAATTGAATTCAATTGGGCATACCCAGTGTAAGATTCTAGAAAGAATTCTGCTTTGGTTATTCCCAATACTTTCAAATATGAAAAAGTCCAATTAGGATTCTACTGTTTTTAGTGGTTTCGATTGGTTAAAGCTACCCATAGGTAATTTTCAATTGAATTCAATTTCCAGTGTGAGATTCTAAAAAAGAATCTGCTAATTGATTATTCCCAATACTTTAAAATATCGCAAGAGGGCTCTCGTCTAGATGCGCAAAACCAACGTACGCAGAATGGTTGACACGCCATCATAAAGAAACAAACAAGTCTTTGGACGCTATTTAATGTCGTTTTTTTATTAGTCGGTTTCTTTTATAATCTATGGGTTTCTGTGCTTAGTGGTAGTTGTGTACTTATAGTGGTGTGTACTTATACCTTAAAAAAATGTTTATATGTGTAAGGTTTAGGGACAATGGCGTGAGAATGGTGGTTACAGGGGACAAAATAAAAAAAATTTGACATAAATAATATTGATTTCGACCATGTCTACAAACATCCTTTGCAAGAAAGACAAAAAATGATTATAATAATATATAATTTTATTACTTTTTTATTACTTCTTACTATTCAGTTATAATAATTTTTGTATATCTTATGTGAAAATGAATTCTGGTTTTTACCCGGTTATTCTTCTGGGATCTTAACTATTTTTGAATGAAAAATCAACTTTCCAAATTTAAAAAAATAAATTGGTTCAAATTGGTTTGAATGGGTTTGGCGCTATGAATTACCAATTTATTCCAGGTGCATTTAAATTGGATTTAGCCAATAGAGACAAGCATATGCATGGATTGGTATATTCCAATTTAAGCTGCTGACTTTATTGGGACTTACCAATAGGAATGCAACTAGAATGAATTGGTGATTCATAGCGCCAAAACACATTTCAAACCAATTACTTATTTTATATTGGATTCTATCGAAAATTCGCAAAACAAATTCTGCTCTGACAGTCAAGCAACGCGGGGTTGGATGCCATGAAAGTAAGGTCAAAACAAGTTTGGGACTGCGTCTGTGGCTTTACAAACTAGGATACCACAACTAGGTGATCCTAGTTTGGGTACCAGAGCAGAAGGCAGCGAGGCAGCAAATGATTTAGTCCAAGAAGGCCAATCAAGGCTCACAACCATATGTGGAGTCGCAGTATCCACAACCAAGGCTTATGTCTAGGAATGGATAAACAAAATATCTCACTATCTCTCAAAATATATCACTATCTCTCAAATTTAGGGAAAACCTTCTTAGACTGGACCGCAAGAATGTCAGGATGGTGGCGGGTATGATTACGGTCCTATGCAGGCTAAAGGTATAGCACATGGAGCACCTAAGACGAGGACACATGAAGTTTTTGAGAGAGGACTAAACAACACTGCACATAATTTGCCACTAGAAGGCACTGTGTCAAAACCAGGTGACTCTCAATGCTTCGGAAGCTTTTGGCTACAAGCAATCTGGATACAGTGGTATGAAAGTTACGAGAGCTACAATAGGCCTTTTAAAGGGCAGTGGTGCAGGCTCTTTAGCCACCTGATGGTTAATCTAATCTAACCTAACATTAAAACTTAATGAAACCTAAAAATGCATTTATTTATTATACTACATGGGCTAAAAAGTTCCTGAAATTATTACTAGATTTCCAATATTGAGAAAAAGAGAGTTTTATGTCCTATTACCTATTACCGAACTTGAATTAGACAAAGAGGTTTATTTGCAGTTCGATTTTGTCTTTCGTGTGTGGTGCATCGCATTTTCATCTTTGGGATATTGCTCGATGGAAAGTCTGAAACAGCTGACTTTGACCCAGGAGGGACAAAATTGAATTCCGGGTATAGAAATATACCTGTATTTTTGGACAATATCGCATGCTTTGACCTTCTAGCGAGGTATTTTGTGATTTGTACCATACATTGAGTGGATAATCCAAGATTTGGAAAATTCACTTGTCTATGGGTGGATGGCTTCGTGAAGCGCATGGACATTAAAACTTGTTGCTGGTCAAAGTGGTTCATTGAAACCGAGACCATTAAGGCCTTAGGTTTATTTTAAAGATGGAAAAACGTTAGAGGGTTGTTGTAATGCCTGTATCGCTCTAAAATGGAATTATTTTAAAGAAATTAAATTAAAATTTGAAAATAAATCTGTTTTCGCAAACAGTCCCCAGATCAATAGTAAATATATTATAAATTCATGGTATATGGTATATAATCTAGGTAATTATTTAGATAAACCTTATAATTAATAGTACTTAGGTATTGCCTGTTTTATCGTAGGTAAAAGTTTGAGGGCGTTAAAGCGTTTTCCAATGTTAACAACGATGTCCCAATTTGCATAAATGCATGGATTTTCATAAATAGCTAGGACATTATTATTGTTGTTGTTTATAAAAGCCTACAGTTTTCTTTTCTCCCGTTTTGGAAACTGCAAGTATTGGGCAAAAAATCACAGTAATTCTTATATCCATTACAAAATAAATTCTTTTTAATTAAGGTCGTATTTTGTTATGGATAATATTGATTTCTTTTCCTATAAAACAAATTCTTGGCGAAAAAGTATACTAAATTCATCTTATTATAACACTCTTGTGTACCGTTATAGTAGAGTATTTTCTTTTATTTTTATTTGGAATTCAAAAATCAACAGTTTTTTATTTAATAAATCTTAGAAAGTTTAATTGAATATAAGCGTTGAGCGACAAACGCATGCCGTTGAGTGAAGAATGCGCATACGCTAAAGATTAAGTGATTAACATTAACTTTATATTAATGGCTTTTATTCATAATATGATCTGTTTAATCGTTATAATGACGTTTGATATTAATTAGATTTAATAGCAATTTCTTTTATTTTTGTTTCAGGGACTTCTCTCCGCTAACTCTGTTTGTTGGTGGAATAACGCTTTAAATGGAGCCACCAAAAGTTTGGTATACCATGGGTATGTTAACCCAGGAGCCATTCTGGTCAGCTCAGAACCATGTGCCCTAGAGATTCTTAGAAACGCTTGGTCCAGAAGAGTGCTTCAACCACCCACTGGATACCAAATCGTAGCCATAGGTAAGATTTACACATGCTGATAAGATTAAAGCCATTTATTAATTTCATATGCACAATTACTTAAACGGAATCAAGAAGAAAGTACAAGAACTTCCGTTAGTTAGATGGTAAAGATTATTGACCAACTTTTATCTCTTGCGATCTCTTATTTATATATATTTTATACCTCTATTTCTAAAGAACAATAATAAGATTTAAAGTTTAAACATTATTTGATCAGCAATGTCAAATAAAAAAATAGTAAAATTTTAGAATAAACTCTGTGACCTTTAATTTGTTTGCAATGAACCCGTGTGAATACCAAATAGAAAGAAGATAAATTACAATTAGTCAGTGTGAAATTAAGAGTTCATTTGCAATTGTAGATAAGCAATTTCTAAATAAAAAGTGGAAATATATCTTAGGAAATAATCTCGTATTGTTATCTCATTTAAAATAGCAATAATTAATTATTCACATACGAGAAAGTTACTAGCAAAATTTAGTGCCAATAATAAAAGAATACATAATTTACTAATTTTTACTTTCCAGAGGACATTGATGAATGCTTAGCATCGCCAGTATCTCAAACTCAATGGACTCCTTTACCGGAAGCCGTGTGTGCAGTAGTTTTAAGATTGTCGAGTCAAGGCAGACCAGCTGGTATAGAAACTATACGAGAGGGTCTTATTCTAACATTTCCACATGTGTCGCCACCTAGCGAACATGCACTATACGATACATTGGTTCAATTGACGAAAGAAAGGAAACTATATAACACTTCTAATGGATACTACATAGTTACGCCAGAGTAATAAAATCTTTTACATTTTATTAAGTTTGGTTTTAAATATATATTTTTTAGACGTAGGAGGTCGAGAAGTCAATCACATGGTAGAAAAAGAGATGAACATCCAGTTGACCCTCCTACTAATAAAAGTATGCTTATGTCAGCTGAGGAAGCAATGGTTAAGGTACATGGAGATATGACCACCATACGTGATGGCAACATTACGCATCAATGTATTCAGACTAATTTAGCAGATGTAATATGTGGTGGTAATGCCAGCGACAAAATTCTATATCCAAAAAACAAAAGAAGATCATCTTCATTCCCTTCACCAAGAAGTCCTGATAGGAGGTCCTTTAGGCTTTGGAGTTCCAATAGACGTCTAAGACGGTCAGCGTCTACAAGAACTATAGCTAAACATCATTACGGCGATACCAGTAGCAGTACAGAATATCCTAATAGTAGTGATTCTACACCAGTACCAAGTAAGAATAAAAAATATGACATGTTAAGTTTATATAGGTAATGACGATATTTTTTTAGAAAAAGAATCACTTTTATCAAGGTTATTTCGAAGATCCAAGCGTTCACAATGTCAAATAGGTACATTCAGTGCCCAGTTCCCACCCAGTGAATGGTTTAATTCAAAAGCTATACATTTACACAATGTTGGTACACAAACTTGTCCCACTGAAAAGGTAACAATTAAAAAAAGTTATTTAAACAAAACTGTAATGAACACATATTTTGTTTTAGGAAATTGGTATATCAATCTCATCCTACCTGGAAAACTACGACATAGGCACATCAAGATCCGCCACACTTCCAAGACATAGAAGACAATTATCTAGCGATTTAACTTTTCTAACATCAACTGGCAACTCACGAGAAAACTCACCGATATCAAGATTTAACACAAGCACGTTGCCAAGAAACAAATACAGAAGCAGAGACAGCTCTCGCAAAACCAGTAGATCTAGCCTAAGTAAGACAACCACTGAAAAAACAGAGGATAGTGGAATTAAGTCTTTGGATGTTACCGAAATTTCCAATAGTAATACTAGTTCTCCTAAACTAAATGGAAGGATCGATTCAACAACCTTGACCAATGGGGAGTCGAAGACTAGTCATAGATTCAACTCAACAACATACAGTTGCGATGAAACTACAGATAATTCCGCAGATTCGCCTGTTAAAAACTTGTCTAGTATCGACAATAGTGGGCCCTCAAGCATAGAGTCACATAAAAGTAACAAAACTGGTAGTTCGGTAACAAGCGGACCAAGTAGTATTGAGTCGCATAAAACAGTTATTAATAGAAATGTTAGTACTGCTTCTCCAAAAACCAGCGTGGAGTCTAGGAGTCTGAAAAAGTTACATCACAGAAGAGAGACCCGCGAAAAGTCTAAGATAATACAAAAGCAAATTATTGCTCCAGTTTCCACACTTATACCTCATAGTAACTCCTTTACATTGCAAGTAACTACCAATCAAGGTAATTCCAATTCAAGCAATAAAAATAATGCTACAACTACTGCTACAATTAATGGTGGTGCCACTGGAAATACAAAGATTTTTGTGCAGAATTCTCCAATAAGATCCGTTATAACTTTTGAAAATGGCCAATCAACCGAAAACAATCCAAACTTAGTTATTATTAACGGAGCTGATACTAAGACTTCAGAAGTAAAATTGGATACGCCTCCTGAAATATGTGATCCAAAATCAGCGAAAAACACAAATCAATCAAAAGAACCTATTGGTTTAAATAATTCGACATCAAGTTTTGATAATTCTATTAACAATGAGCAAAAAAATGAGGCTATGAATAATAGCAGAAAACTTTCGCTACAATTGCCGTCCAGGGATGGATTAAGTTACCATAATTTAATAAAAAATGTTTCTTCAGTCAATCACAATCAGTATAATTCAAACTCTAATCCTGACTCTCCAATTGCCAATACATACAGAGATTTTTCAAAAAACGGAACATATAACAGCAATCCACCCAGTCCAACGAAAAGTTATGAAGGAATACCCATGGCCATTAATGGAAAATACTCCAAAAATGAGGTTGGTTCAAAAACATCTTTGGAAAAATCCTTTTATGGATTAGAGTCTAATAAAATTCTAGATAAAAATATTATAGGTTCGGAGCCCAACATCTGCTATAAAGAAAGAACTCTTACCAGAGAAAACAGTAATCAGCAATTCCCAAGTCTAAGCGACCTTAGTTTTAATTTTACAAGTCTGGCAGCACAGAAAATACTAAAAGGGGTCAGCATAAACAGCGTGGACACATTGGTTGAGCTCAACATGGCGGCCAATGGCGAAAAACAAAACAACTGTGATGTAGTCCACACTGATTTTGGTTTATTTTAAATGATCAAGTAATCTTGTGTTTACTTTTGTAGTAAAAGTTTACATCAAGGTTTTGATTCCAATATTATTGTGTTTTACTAACATATACAACTTTTTGGGGTCTAACTTCCTCAAGTTTATTAATTAAATGTAGCGAGCAGATTGTATATGTATTTTGTAATTTTGTATATTTATTTTATATAATTAATATCTACATTTATAACCCATGTACAGACAATAAATTTCTCGATTAACCAAAATTTTGTTCGCTTATTTATTATGTGTTTTTTTATTACATATACAATGACAATTAACGCGTTTGTTTCACAAAGTTGGTATCATTGTTTTTCTATGGTTAGTATCTCATTCATTTTTAAAATTTTATGCTATCCATAAAAAAATGTAAGAATATTTTCCGATTGTGATTTCGAAAATGGATCCTAAATTTAAGCGGCCTAGTATTTCGAAAGAAAAATAAAATTCTCGAAAACAATCTTATGGAAGAAAATATAAATTTGACAGATGACCTAACTTAAAATTCAAAGACCGTTTTGGATCTTTCCCGCAAAAGAAAATATAAATTTGACAGATGAAGAAAATATAAATTTGACAGACGACCTAACCTCAAATTCAAATACCCTATTGGATCTTACAGCGCAAAAAATTAAAGAATGCGCTGGTTTGCATAAACACGCATCACTCAGGTAACCAAATTCTAGTTTGAGCTACCCTACATGAATTGATATTGGGTATTTTACAAATAAATAATATTGGTATTTATCCTGGTATAAATAAAACACTCATTGGTACAATTACTTAAATAATATTTAATTAATATTCTTCTAAAAAACTGTCGCCATCGCTACTATCATCTGAATCTAGATTAATTAAAAATGGTTCTACATGATCATCCAACACTATTTCCCGGTCAAGATATTTATCTTCCATAAATATTGTGAGGCGACATCTTTTTATCTTGCGATATTTTAGCAAATTCTTCTTTCGCAATTTTATATACGAGTTATTCATGCCCCATGTACTAATGTCATATAATTTTTAAAATTCAATTTGCCGTACACATGGCTGACCGAAGAATTGTGACAACTTATCCGTGCCATACCAACGAACGACAGATATATCTACCGGTGGCGGAAATATACGACAGCCGTCGGGATGGCAAATTTAGGTATCATATCGCACCTGGGAGACAACAGACTGTTGTCAACAGTGTCATAATGCCGGTTTTACACCAAACCGACTAGTTGAGTTGCTGTTTTGTTGCTGTTTTAAAAAAACAAAAACTCAACTGTTTTTAACGATAAAACTGTTCACACTAAACAGAAAAAATTAGTTGCTGTCGAGTTTTTGTTTTTTGTCGTTTTACATCAGAGAAACAGTTGCAGTTTTGTTTAGTTCTATTCAGAAAGTAGGTGGTTGTTCATTATTTTATAAGTATTATTTATTTAAAAAAATTAACATGGATAGTGACGAGGAACGCTTTTTTTTTTCTCGTGTGCGGTTGGTACACGCAGGTATTGGGTGAGATCCTTATTAAATAGAAGGAAATATGATGGTGGTGCAAAGATGTTAATGGATTTACAAAAGGACGACATAGGGTTAAGTGGCGAATTACGTTCTTCTTATCAACTCAAGTTGATAACAGACGTTTACACCAAGCCGACTGAGTTGCAAAAAACGCAGCAACTCTTTGAAGTTACCGACATCGATCGGGAAACGAAAAACACAACAGCAACTGTTGAGTTGCCGAAAAATCTTCAAAAAATCTGCAAAAAGTTGCGGTTTTGTTTTTTTCAACTCGAATTGCTGTTTTGTCGGTTTGGTGTAAAACCGGCATAAGTAGTAAAACCTTAATTCCGAGATAATGTACGTCAAAGATTTTTGAATAATAAAATTATCACATATTTGTAAAATTATATTAACTTACAGTATTTTCTTTACAAAGGAAGAACCACACTAAGATACTGAGCCAGTTAAAAATTTCATTTTAGAAAATACTCATTTTGGATACGAGCTATTTATAGATATGTCTGTAGGTGTGCATCAATTTTGGAGATATGTCTGTATTGCTAAAAATGTGTTGATCATTTTTTTTAATTATTCATTCTTCTATTGTTAATTATGAATATGAGGAACGTATGGCTCGACCCATCGGCAACGACTTACACTGATTTCCCAGGGATATTTTACCCCCTTTCAGTTCTTCTACACAGCAAACGGAAAAATATAGAATTGTATAGGATGACTCCCCGTTTGAATACTAAATCTTAAAGTTTTATCAGAACTTGCAAGATACATTATTTTGATTTTCTATATTCAACAGAGATGTAGAAACTCGACCCTGTCGAATGGTGCAGTCATTTATGTCTCTAGAAAATATTGAAAAAGGGTTCAGTCCAATGGTGCAGCAACTTCGGATTCCTATTCTCTTCAGAGACAAAGAAACTCAAGTTTCTCGAATTTTACTGGCAATGATTTTCGTTAATGTCCCTGAGAATTATACAAAACCAGCGCAATGCAATATCGCAACGGTTTCGACTTCTCTTTACTCTACCAAGTTATAGAAACTGGAGTCTCTCTAATACTGTTCTAGTCAATATTTCTGAGAGTATAAAAAGAGGGTGTAATTCAATTTGATGGATGCAAGTAGTTTGAATATTCCCATTTCTGCATATGATTTTGTTGAAAATAGTTCCTTTCTTTGGTTCCTTTGTCTTATTTTTATTTATCGTAACAACTCAGGTATGTAAAGCACAGAGGATATGATGTAAAGTACATTTATGTATTATATATAGTACCTATATTTGTATTAAAAATTTCAGAGATGTTGAAAAAATGATCTAAATGCTATTAAACTTTAAAAATTTAGTAATGAGGTCTGTTGGTTCTTTATCTTTGGGTAGACCCTGCACATCTCCACTGGTAGTTTTATGTTAGTACAGCAATATTTAAATCAGGTTGATCAAAAAGTACACACCAGTGCAGGTTATTGTAGCATCTACGAACAAATGAATTAATGGCCCATTTGCAATTATTCCTTTAGAAAAAATATTCAACACAGCTTAATTAATTAATAAAATGAAAAAAATCACAATCATGTCGTGTATAGTTTTTTTTCAAGCATAAAATAATTTTCATATTAATACCTACTAGTTCAAAAGTCAAATTACGACCTCTATACTGTGGAGAGTATTGAAACGCTCGAGTTTCGAATACAACTCTATACCGTGGCGAGGGTTTAGAAAACTGTATTCAAACGTGGCGTCATCCAATACACTTCTATATTTTTCCGTTTGCTGTGTACGTATCCCGCCACTGCACAGCATTGCCTGTGTTTGATGGATCCGAATTTTCACCCTGGCTGGTAAATATCGTGGATGACAGTGTCGATGGTTAAGGCCACTCCCGGAATTTTGTCGCCGGGCCGGGCCACACGCCCGATTTAGGTTAGTGGAGTGAGGATAAGAAGGGAAAACATTATGGTTTTTGAGGGACATTGAACTGACCCAAAACTAAGTACAATCCGGAGTCAGGTTCATGAATGGGGCTTGGTTAGTTAGTACGCTGGAGGAGTAGGTACCGTGGCTCTATCCGATTCGGATTCTGAGCTTGCTGAGTATCGATAACGTTGCACCACACTGTCCGGTTGTATATTATTTCGCATACAACGTAATGGTTCCCTTAAATGTGCTTAATAATCTACAGATGTTTATTTCTTTAGGATGAGTTTCTTTTGCCTAGTGTTTATCTGTTCTTTCATAAATAAATCATAAAAGAGAGCTTATGCAGACTTAATGAAGACGTCATATTGCTGTCTGGGTATCCATTGTATATCCACACCATGTTCAGCAGGGTCGGACATTTATATATCCACTGGTTATCCATTGGATGTAAATGTTCCGGGTTCCCGAGGGACCCCTAGGGGACAAGCTATCAAGGAAATTTTTTTATTTAATAATAATAAAGAAACTAAATTATTTGAAATTAAAAATGATAAACATTCTTTGTTTGAAAGACAATAATTATTTTCCCTTTGAATTACCCTTAACCCACAAAACATTTTATATTCATCAATAACATAAGTTACTATAAAATATTTGAAGATCCACGAGACTTCTAATGTTTTTTTCATTATCTTACTATGTTAATAGCCCCCTTTGGTCCCTTATACGGTATGCTACTGCTTATATTAAATATATTTAATAAACACAATTAGGTGCAACTTAATACAAAATGATGTGTTCAATATTAAATGCATCAATTATTTCTGGTAACCCTATAAGAAGTCTGAAGGTGTTATTATTACTTAAATGGATTTATTCTTAAAAATATTAAACGTTCAAGTTGATTTAAGGCAAATTCAGCATATTTACGACGTGCACTATGGTCCAAATTATTAAACAGGGTTTCCTAAAATCACCGGACCAATTGGTCCGGTGATTTCCTTAAGGAAAGGGACCAATTCCTTGCAAAAATCCAAGGGGTAACCTACTGATTTTGTACTTGCTAACACAATAATTATTATAATCTTTATAACAAATCCTAAAAAAATGTCCATTCACACCTTTTAACCACAGCATAGTTTATGCTGTGGTTTCACCATCAATCAAAAAATAATGCAGCTCTTTGTTTTGAAATGATTTTGGTGTGGTTGGGTTTGTTTCTGGTTACGGCCCTGATTGTCTGAACAGGTGCATCTGGAACTGAAACTGGCGGTGGTCCGCGAGTGAAATGCGCCAAGCATTGGTCGCGCGTATGCGTATTCGACTCTCTGAATAGACTCCGTGCAGATCGATAAACTCCAAGTGACAGTCATTTCCCAGATAGCACCATCGTCGTCCTTATAGTAAATATTTACATGAAGTGTATTAATATGAATCAAGGTAAGCATTTAAGAAATTCTAATTAACGTTTCTTTTTAATTAGTGTAGTTAACGTTCTTTAAATTTCTTCTGACGGTTAAGATTTGTTTTCACTCTCGCGGCTGCATTCCATTGAAGGTTCTTCCTTCGGCACGTAGAATCCATTCTAGACCTAGTTACTGCACCTTATTTTTTATTCAAAATTACCGCTTTACTTTTAAACATTTTACTGAATTCACCTTTTTTTTATTAAAATACCTATAATTTTCTGAAATAAATCATAGTTTAGAAAGTTACATAGCACATTGTTTAACTTATCAAATATTTTTGATTTATGTTAACGTACGATATTGTTCAACAATTTGTAAACTAAAATGAAAAAATTATTAATTTAATCATTTCATTATTATGATTTTTTTATAACAAAACGACGATTATTTAGGAACTACGCAGTATAAACAATGAACTCGTCCAAGTTAGATGGACCAAACCTATATACGCATCTCAGAAACTCCTGTCAAAAACTATGTAAATAAATATAATAGAATCAAAACCCTGTATAAATGAACATATACTACTATTCAAAAATTTCTCAGAATTTCTAGTGACTCCTGAAGTTTCTGAGATAAGCATACGTGGAACTCCATTATAGGGTGATTTAAACTCGACTCCTTTGCTTTATTGTGCAAAACGGAAAAAGATAGGTATTTGAAAACTAGTTGGATCCCCACAAATGGTTTATATCAACCTTAATTTTTCACCAGAAAGATGTTTTTTGAGGTTATGTCATCATAAATATAATTTTTCCCAAAACATTTAAATTTTTTTACCATATTTCGAAGTTTTTTTCTTTTAAATATATACAACTCGTCATAAAACACTTCTCTACTATGTTTGGTTCAATAATTATAGATCAAAATATATTTCGATAAAATTATGTTTTCCAATTATTTCATGGCAAATATAGGTTATAATTTAGTTTTAGTTTTTCTTTTATTTGTGCATTTTTTGTATTTAATTGAATAAAATGTTTTCAAAATATTTTTTAATAGTTTGATTTACACCCAGTTAAGATGGTTTTATAACTTATTTTATGTAATAGTTACCAATATTTTGCCCTATTACTTTTGAACCAAACATAATAGGGAATTGTTGTATGGCCAATTGTATTAAAAAGGCACCTTTCAAAATATGGTAAAAAAAACTCCTGGAGAAAAATACATAACTTTAGACAACCTGTATACAGGACTACATAACCTCAAATTATCTTTTTAGTGAAAATTTAAGGTTAAGATAAACCATTTGTGATTCTCCAACCAACATAGTAAGTGTTTTATGGCCATATTTAAAAAAATGAAAACTTTTAAAATAGGTATCTAAAAAAAAATCCTGGGGAAAATTATATTCAGGGCAACATAACCTCAGATTTTTAAAAATGTCTTTTTGTTGAAAAATTAAGGTTGAGATCTCGGTTGAGATAAACCATAAATACCAAAATAAAGCAAAGGCGTCGAGTTTGAATTATGTATGTACTTATAGAATACTATTTTATATGTAATTTCAATAATAACTACTTAAGTAAAATAAGTTTACACACAGGTTAAATCAAACTTGACGCATTTGCTTTATTTTGTAAAAACAGAAAAAGATATTCAAAAACTGGTTGGGGGATAACAACCCAAGCAACAATTTAAGTATTTGTTACGTATATGGGACTATTGAAGAAACTTCAAAGTGTTTTGCGACAGTCGCCGGTCTCTTTATATTACTCTTTCATTACTACGTTACGACTAAAGTGGGGAACAATTATTGAGTTCCAAAAAGGTAGCAAATATGTCACTAGCTACCAACCCTGCTACTATTTGGGACGTAGCTGCTACGTTACTAGAACGTTCCAATATCGTTGCTAGAGCGTTATAATTACTTTTATTATTTGTTTTTACTTCTATATTAACTGTCTTTGTCAAACTTATATTAGATTATACTATCCCTCCTTTTTTAAATGGAACCACTACGGACTTGGCTTTTCAATGTCGTCGTTTATTAAATATGTACTGGTAGTTTATAACTTCCAGAATAACAATATAATATTTAATTAGACAGGTAGATTTATAAACCCTTTAAATTTTACTGTTGAACTTATGAATTTAGTTTTTGTAAAATAAATGCGCTTCATCAATATTTAAGTATAAACAAATTATTTATTTAGTAATGTTTATAAATAAAAAAATCTTAATATTTATTATTATTTTTTTTATTTAATTATTAATACCGTCTATTACCAACAATATTTCTATTTATTAAAAAGTAAACAACCATTTACAAACAATTAAAATAATTTATTATTTACATTGCCACGTGGTACTGTACAGTAAAAAATGGCCGATAAGAAGCATTTTCCTTTGAAGTAGTTTTCGCTACTTTAAAGTTTTTTTCCACTTTACGGTTGTTTTGGTTAGTACCATAAACGTTCCAAATACTAAAATAATAACTTTTAAGTTATTAACTTTGTAGTTTTTAACTCATGTTCCAGTTTCGAGATTTTAACTTGCAAAGGGACTACAAAGTAAAAATAATTATAATGTAATCTTTAGGTAGCAACCGAAAGTAACTGCTACAAATTAAATTTACTTGAAAGTTTTTTTTACTTATAACATCTTTTTTAAAGTTGCAAAGTCTTCTTGGGGGCAACCAAGTTTTACTTAAATGTTTATTACTTTATAGTAACAATTTAAGGAAAAATTAAGTTTCTGTTACAAAATATTGCTATTTAAAAGTTAGAATTACTTTTAAGTAAAAATTAAAGTAGCTGTTTAGTATACTTAACTAATTTAAAGTTATCACCACTTTGGCAATGGTTTTTGGAACCAAAAATGCTGCTTGGGAAATGGTTTATCTCAACCTCAATCTCATTTTTCACCAAAAATTTGTATCAAGCCAAAATAAAAAATATATCAGGGAGTAAACTTTGTTGAAGTTTATTATAGTAAGTTTAACTTTAGGTATAGGACATGGTACAGTAATTTTACTCAAAATTTTATGTAGAAATTAAAAATGTAAAAATATATGGGGGGTTCTATTTAAAGTAACAAAGTTGATGTCACTTTTGGTCCAACCGGAAGTGGAATGTTGTTTAAAATATTTTAGAAATATAGGCTTAATAGGATTATAAACGCTTAAAAAATTTCAAATTGATATTTTCTATATTCTGTGAATAAATTTTTCATAAAAATATACTGTCTAGCTGCCGAATACCGTGGATAACATTTTATTCGATCGCACTTAAAAAAAAAGACGTGATCAGAAAAAACGCCGAGAATTTTTTTAAGTCTATTTTCAAAATCTATAAAAAAAAATTATGGGAGGGAAAAAAATCAAATTTTGTCATACTGTGTAATAGTTATAAACATAATATTTTGAAATATGCTAGCAATTACTTTTTAAGTTTAATAATAACGTTAATCCCACTGTAAATTTACCAGGGACTGGAATAGCTTGTTTGTATTATAACTATGAGATCAGTCTAAATTTAATTTATAGATTAAATTTAGACTATATGTATCAAAGTAGCATTATACTGACGAAAACTGATATCACCACTTCAAATGAGTGGCAATATCGTTTAAATAACTAAATCTACCACGATACAGTTAAAATATTTTCATATTATATTAGCATAGTTGTAATCATGTGATTTGCACCAGCAAAATATACTTTATAGTTTTATAACTTTTTGGTGTATTAGTCTGGTATCTGAAATGTTATGACCACTTTTGACACCACCTTAAAGTTGTCTAAACTTTAGAGTGGATTATGAATTATTATAAATTACATCACTTAAGTATTACTTTGAAGTGGTTGTAGTAGTAAAGTGGGTATATCAGTTTTGGCAACGTTTTCGGAACTTTTCCCAAACCTTGAATGTGGCAAAACTTGATTATATAATTGCGGTGGTGATTGCCACGTTCTTGCTACATGCTTAAGTGATTTCCACGTTTCGTATAAAATTACCACTTTAAATTTCCATTCTTCAAAAGCAGACATGTTTACAAATAATCGCCATTGTAGGGAAATAAATGTGTAGATTTAAACAAATAATTCTGGTTATTACCGCACCAAATTTAACACGTTAATACATATTTATTGGTTTCAGGTGATCAGAAATAATAAAAAAAATATTTTAGGCCTTTAGTTAAATAATTTTCATATCCGCTAAATTTATAGATTTTTTATTCTTTTTTATTACCACATATTTCAACAGGGCGTGCTTATATTTCAAGCTATGAAACCCATGTTTAACAGTAAAATTTAATTCGTGTTAATTTTATGTCTTTGGATTATTTTAATTCTAGTTATTATTTGCAAGTTGTACTCTTACAATATTATAAATCTGTGTTAGTTTAATATCCAGTCAGAGAAAGCAAAGATAATAAGATAAATAATATGCTGGAAAGATACGGGGATCGAAAGTAAAGATTAGTAAAGTTACTATTAAGTTTTGGCCACTATACCTCCACGTTATAGTAACGTAATCACAACGTGGTATTAACATGTCTGTATACAACGTCCTTGAATTGTATATATACAATTCAAGAACGTTGTTGAAACGTAACTGACACTATTAAAGTGTTCCCCATTTTAGTCACTTCCACGTAATAGAACCGTGGCAGAGATTTTAATAATGTATACATTATTAACAAATTAATCAAAAGTTTTATTTGTTAAGGGGTTTAATGTGTTACCAATGGTAACTTACCATAAAATTGGGATTAAAAAATCACACATTGTTTAAATTTAATTTTGAAATCTTTGATTTAAGTAAATAAACTAAATAAGCTTAAACACGGCGTTCTCTATATATTTACTAAAAATGGAGTTATACCATTTTTGTTGCGACATTAACCGTGCTTGAAGGTAATGTAATAAATTATGTTTATGAATTACTTGAAAAGTAATTTTAGATTAAAAGTAACTTTAGATTAAATTGGAGCAAAGCTGTGACAAACAAACAAAATATTCATCATCGACGTATTTAGATGGCTTCTTCTAATTTCAATTTGTTTTTTTTTCTTTCAGATAACTGATCGTAAATTTGATTGGAAAAGAGGACTGTGTAGCTTTTGACGGCCACATGCTAAAGCTGCGACTGGTCACAACTCATTTTCTAAAACAGCCATAGATTTGAGATGTGTCGTGATAGAGATATGAACCCTTAAATTTAAAATAAAATCGCGTATCGGAATCCCATCTTCATTCAATTAAAGTGATAATTTTTGTTTCAATCGTATCGCGTTGTATAAAAGTAGAGACCGTTCTTTTTTGTTGTTTAGTGTGTTCGAAACTAGGAAGTAGTTTTATTAAAATTGGAAGTGCATTGGATAAAAAAGGGTAAGTTACAAAACCTATACCTATGGGTCATTTTATAAAAAAATTTATTAAGTAATGTTTTGTTTAATAGATCTAAAATATTTTCTTCAGTTTTACATTGTACACTGTTTAAAATATCTGTGGTGTAAAGAGTAATCTTAAAATGGTGTCAAAATCCAAAACCAAGTGGTGTTAATATAAACACCATGAATTATGGTTGAAAATGTTATATACAGCAAACACCAAAACGGTGTTTATCTAAAAATATTTGAGAAGTGCACTTACACAGAAGAAAAGGAATAGTTCATTTAACTATATTAGTTTAGTTGACCCATAAGTATTTATTTAAATCAACTGTGGGAAGGTTAATATAAACAAAGATTAGTTTGACGGTACTAAACCAGATAGTTATTTTATTTTTTTTAAATTGGTTAAATTAATCCAGAAAACTTTAGTGAAACCAACCCGCTGTATGGTTCAGTTTACTAAATATGTTGTTTGTAAAATAAGAGTTACTTCAACCTAAAGCACTTTGTTAAAACAATTAAAACAATTTGCCGTGCATTCCTGGTTGCATAGTGTGTAGCGATCGCGGCAAAGGCGGTGTGGATCACGTAATGTTCTTAAATCTCGCCTCTGTTGGCTTACATGAAGAGTATATAAGCTCAGGTAGTCCTTTGCTTTGGTGTGACACTACAAGTTGTTCAATACTAAAGAGATCTTAAGTAGGTGGAAACAGCGGTCAATACTTGAAGTATTTTAAGTTGGTGGAACGCACTAAAAACATTATCTCTAGCGAGTTGAAGGTTTAATTTTCTGGAATAATACCACTGGTAATATATTAGTAATGCGTCAAGGAACTTCCTGTTTCCTTTTTTTTCTCCTTTTTTTCTGTGTAGTATGATTTAATTTGACCAAAAACACATAATATTTAACACTGAAAAGGAGTTCAATTTACACCAGGTAAAATTTATTTTAATACTGTGTGAAAGTTAAATTTACACTATTTTAGTATTTGAATTTACACCGGAACAACGAACCATATTTAACACCATTTTGATTTGTATCGATGTATGGTGTTAATTTGGTGTTAAAATGGTCATGAAATTTTGAAAAGTGTATCAGTGTTGCCAACCCAAAATCTGTCTAGGAGGTAGATATGATTTTAAAAGATCTACCAATTAAAAAGCAGAATAATAATTATTACAGATTACCAAAATTCAAAATAAGAATAGAAAAAATTGAAGAACGAATTATGATAATTATCAAATTACAAATATGCAAATTAATTAATTAAATATTTATAATCCCGAATTATCAAATTGTGTGGTAGACCATATTGCCTATTTATAATTAATTAGATTAGAACCAAAAAAACATCTTCAAAACATCGAAAATAAAAAAAGTGTAAAAATATTGATTGAATTATTTATAATGTTCTTCAGTATGTGTAGGTTGCTTAGCACTTTTGTTGATAAATGTAATAGATAATAGAGGGCGTTGCAGTAACGCGCTATATACTCTATAAAATTCGGTAAATGTTCAGATGAAGATGAAAAAGTATAAAAACACAACAAATTACCCGGAATTAGCACTTTAGTAGATTTGAGCAAGACAATAAAAGTAGGTAGAACTACCGAAAAGTTGGTAGAGTTGGCAACCCTGCAGTGTATTCTTACCTGTCTATTATAAGCTTATTTTTATTTAATTTAACAATTTACATAAAGGCTTAATATGCCAGTAAAAGCGTATGTTGACCCTATACTTTTATACAGGTTGAAATTTATTATTTATTAAAAAAAAAACATAAATTAAATAGTATATACATATTTTGGATTTCGGAATGGTCCGAACAACCCCCGCGCCGCCATGGCCCGCTATTTCGAAAAAACCCAAACTTTTTTAATAACTTATCGGACAGAGGCCAACACTTTTAAAATCCTGAAAATTTTAAAAATTACATTTTTTATAAAACTTATTTTGCTCATCGATGCATGAATATATGAACTTTTTTGAAAATTGGTTTTTCCCTTCTTACCCCTTATGCAATGTTTTTTGCAACGCAAATTTGAATGTTTTTTCTTTCATTACGCAACAATGCATCTAAAAAAACTTTTTTAAAAAAAGTAAGCAAATTACAAAGTTTAAATACAGGGATAAATTGCTCTTTTACATGACATATTTTTAAATAAATTTAATTTGTTACCAACAAATCATAAGGCCAAAAAAGACCCAAAATGTTATTTTTAAAGAAATGTCGAAATGTTGTAGATTGGACCAATTTACTTATAGGTCATTTTATACGAAATTTTAAAATCTACAAAATTTTAAGGAAAAAAGTGTGTTAAAAAACAGCGCAAAAATTGAGAAAACTATTTTTCAAAAAAAAATGGTTGAGGTTTTTTAAATCTATTTAAGCAACAGCGCATCGGAGAGCAAAATAGGTTTTATAAAAATGTACCTCTTAATTACCAGCATTGTAAGCCACTGTGCGCCAAACGGTTCGTAAGTTATTAAGTTATGCTCTTTTAATTAAAAAAATATATATATAAATATTGAGTTCCCTATATAAAATCTTACACTTTTACTATAGCCTATAAATGAAAAAGAAAAAATTGCTAATTGCAAAAACATTAATTTTTTTTTTTAATTTTGATAAAATACTTTTATTTAGTATTAAATAGGGCCCAATGTTAATGTCCTTTACAAAAATAAGTCTTTCAATTTGTGTAATCGTGTTTTGAACAATACATTGACTTGAATCAGGTCACCTGATATACATATATTTATAGTATTTCAATATCGTAAATTGTAATTGTTTATTTAATGAATGTATCATAGGTTTGTAATGTGATAATATATTCAACGTGCGAATTTATTTGCTTAATATCATAGATAACATACAAAGTCCAAAGGATACAATATCTTCGTAAAAACAACAAACCAACGTAGGTAGTTGGTAAACTAAACTAAACCCAAATAAATGTGTGTATAAACCTTTGGAAAAAAAGAAATAAAAAATATAATATTAAAACTTATTTGTGTTTTTAAAAAAAACTTTCAGCGAATTTAATTTTAAAACACTTTATTTAATAAAAAGATGTTAATAATATTTTAAGGTTTAAAATAAAAAATATCATAATATCAAAAGGCTTGTTCTTAATAAATATTTGCAACAAATTTAATTTTGTAAATCTCACAATTAGGTGGTCGATTTGATATGGATTAATTCTTTGGCTAGCTTAAATTATTATTAGGTACTTAATATTTCGTTTTTTTAAATATAATAAAAACGAAATATTTATAATATCTAATTATAATTTAAGCTAAACAAAGGCTCATCCATAGAAAAATTTATTTAATTTTTATTTTTGTATCCATGTTTTTACTAGAGAGTATTCTGTATTCTCACAAATTTTTGATGTTCAGTTTGTATTTGTGCGTTAGCCTATTTTTCATTTACAGAAGTTTGCTTTAAATCAATTATATTACTAAAAAGTTTTAGGCCTTAGAGTTGCATCATTTTCTTTGACGAGTCTTCAAATATTGCGATTCGTCTAAAATCGGGTATTTTTTCAAAATATTCAGAAAACATTCTTTAATTGTGTTGTAATAATTTTTTAAAAGTTCATCGTATAAATTTCATATTTTAGCTGTTTTTAAAAATGTTGAACTAAAAAACTAATTAAGTCTTAGTTATGAAATTAACCATTTATTTTAACACAATAAAAGAATGATTTCTGAATATTTTGGGTTTTTAAAGTGTCCATTTTAAGATATTTTAAATTAAAAATACCCGATTTTAGATGTATCGCAATATTTGGAGACTCAAAAAAGAATGCAAGGTCTAAAAGTTTCAGTTTACTATTAGGGGTGTGCGAATATCGTTCGAATCGAATCGAATATTGATATTCGATTCAAAATTCGAATCGAGTAATTCGAATTTTCGAACTATTCGAAATTCTACGAATAATTCGAAAAATTTCGAATAATTCGAAAAACCGAATAATTCGAAAAATTTCGAATAATTCGAAAAATTTCGAATAATTCGAAAATTTTCAAATAGTTCGCGAATTAATAAAATATCTCTGGATTTTCAATTACTTCCATTTAAATTCCTTTAAATCGTTTATAGAAATATTCTACTTACGAATAATATACTTTTCGTTTAAAAATCAATTACAGAGAAAATAATTGCTCATTTTCAATATATGTTTATCTCTGTCATTAACATACAAAATCTAGAATGTATATTGACTGCATATTTGAATATTGAACATTAGAAACCCTGAATTCAAAATACTCGAAAATTCGCTAATAATATAATAGTTTACGAATAATTCCGAAAAAATTCGAATTATTCGAAATTTTTCGAATTATTCGGGAACTTTCGAATTATTCTAATTTTCGAATTATTCGATTCGAGTTCCGAATCGAATATTAATATTTGATTCGGAACGAATAATTCGTAAGTTCGAATTATTCGCACACCCCTATTTACTATACTTTAAAGACTATATCCAGAAAAAAATAAGGTGAGTCTTAGTTTTATTTTTAAGATTTTTAATTGTTAAAGAGACAAATTAAGGCCTATATTTACAAGGCTTTAAATTGTTCACAGTTTATCCACTTCAACATGGTTTTTGTTTAAATATTTTTAAACTCCAAAAAGCTATACATTTATCGCAAACCTAAAATTCAAAATAGGCAGACGCACCAAACAAAATAACCACTTACAAATAAAATAAATGATCAACTAAAAAATTATTTCAATAATTGACAAGGTGAGAATAAATATATAGGCCTGTTTTAATGTGTAATAATTATAACAATTATAATAATTATTACAGTATGTTGATTTTGTGATATTTTTATTTTAATCCTTAGTTTGGGATCCATATCAAAATTAAATTTAATTTAAAAAGGTTTTGAAAAAATGTATTAATTTTTTTACCTATTTACCTATTACCTATTTGTACTATACTCATGAGTTAAAAACAATTTTTTAGTTGAATTATTCA